CGTGTTGTTTCGATTTGAAAAAGAATTCAGTGTGGTTTTACAGTCGAGGACCGTGTCGCGATTATGAAATTGACTCGATCGCGTAACCCGTGTGAATTTACGCTGGTGTGCCAACAAGAAAGTGTTTGAAACTTCTCAGTGAGTCGGCACGGCGGGACGCCGGCCCTCGATCGGCCGACTGGATTTTCGATCGCCGCTTCGGATCATCTCAATCGTACCGGTGAGTCTCCACTAAAGTGCTCCTTTCTGAACATGCATGTTGAATTGTTCGTGAAATCGTATTACTCTTATCTCATGAAAAACGTGAAGAAGTTAAGCTTGAACGGGACACGTGATTTAGTCAAGAGCGAAAAGTTTGTAACTACACAAGAGGAGGTAGTAATTTCTTGCTAGCACAGGGATAGAGATAGTAAGAGGAAAGTATCCAGGTATACGGAAAATATTGCGCAGCACGAATTCTCGAAAGAATACCTGCGGTGCTCGGGGAAAGCATTTGGATTCCCGATGACGCAAAATTGTAAACAGAAACATATGAATCATACGGTTTTTACTATGGTCGTGTGACTTCGATCTGACAAGTATGAAGTGTCATTCGCATATAAATCGTTCTATGGTCACTGTTTCTCTACATGCCTGCATGGTTACAAGGGCGATTTAAATACAATACATTGTCTTCGATTAGTTTGCGCAACCGGAACAAGATTATTGCCTCTAACAGTATAGCATCGCCTTGTTCAGAAGAGATTTTTTTTCTTTTTTTTCATTATATACACCTTTTTTCATATTGTGTGGCCGTATACACTTTAAATCGTATAACCATGCGCATAAAGGAATCTTTTCGCTTTGCATAAGAGAGAGGGCTCTGAATTAATCCTTTAACATGAGATGTGTGAATTTATGAATGCGACATTCGCGTTCTATTGTACATTGATGAATAAGAAGGTCGTTTAATCCGTAAATTATATTACCAGAATTAGCTAGTTCAGGTTGTCGAATAACTTTAATTACACTTTTGAATCGTAATTAAAGCGTCGAATTAAAACGTCGCCGTTATAGTAATTGGCTGTGCGATAATATTTATTTCACGATTACTGTAGCACCATATTTTCTCATATGAATGACTTCGAACTCGATACTCGCGCGTCGTTATAAGAAGGGAAATCGGTTGATACTTACGTATGATGATACCCTTTGATAATGTATGTATTATCGCGTCCGCGATAACATGCCGAGTATCAAATTGATTTTACCCAAACATTATTCCCGTTAATATAGTCATAAAATGCCTGTTACGATTTCTGCAGCAGATTATTATCTTCAAGTATTACACACGCACAAGTTTTTTTTTCACACTTGCATCAGAGGGAATAACTATTTCTCGCTGGAATGTTCAACATTTTAATCTCACCTCTAATCACAATTTTCAACAAAAATAAACGGCAGTCGGTAACTCGGCAATTCAATCTAAACGTCAAAATACAGGAATCTCTTCTTACATGAAACAGCACACCTTTAAAAATGTACGGAATGCAACCGTAAAAACTTAACCACGGAGCCGAGCATAAAAGCCGTGTGAACTTGAACGTTACGGAGAAAGTAGTTTTAACATGGTGGACAAGTCAGTTGTAGGTATTGCGTCACCGATATCGTTTCCGTCCTAACGTTCATGAAGGGTCGTTCTTGCAAAAAGGTTAAATGTAGTGTGACGACTAGGTGGCAACGACCTGCCCGCAATAGACGAGAGAGAGAGTGGAGCTACGTGTAGTCGCGTCACGATTCTTACCGGAGGTCGTGACCTTGTCGATATGGGAAACAATGGTGCGTTTGCTTACATCGGTGCAGGATCGTCCCCGTGAGTCAGTTTGCCGATCGATTTCACGCGTGCACGTATACAGGGTGTCCTAATTTACTCTGTTACCGCCATTACTTCGAAAAGGACGTCGAGTATAGAAGAAAATGCTTTTAGGATGTTACTTGGCGATCGGCAGGGCGGCGGTAGGGTGGGATGTAGGGGGGAGAGGCATGTAAGATGCATGCACGATGTTACTAGGTAGAGGCGTTAAGGTCACGCGAAGGTCATTTACGTTGTTTTTCTACATGGAATTATAGACTTTTCAATGCATTAACCGATGCAGCTCGTCGACGAATCGTTAGTATAGAAAATATTCGAATTTCAATATTGCATTTTTTTTTTTTTTTTTTTTTTTTTTTAAAGAAATTTTCTCACGTATAACTTTATTGTAAAATTTTTTATTGTAAAGTCTTTCTGAATTTTAGTGTGAAGTAATGTGGCTGAATTTGTCTTACTATTCGCTGCAATTTTGTGGGAAAAAATGCCACGTTGCAATAGTGAAATTTAAATATCTGTTAAACTAATGCTTTTTTGGCGTAAATAGGTTAAATATTTTTATTTATAGGAAATTACGAGCTGTGTCGATTAATGTGTTTAAAATTATGTGATTCCTTTTAAAAAGACATAAGTGACCTTCACCTAACCTTAACGCCTGCACCTAGTAACACGCTGCCTGCATCTCACGATGTCCCCTTTGATCGACCTAACCCTTTAAAAGCATTTTCTGTTACGCAGTCCACTTTTCGAAATACATAGTTGCGATAATAGATTAAATTGGAACACCCTGTATACACGTTCGACAACATTCATTGTCGCGTTCTGCGCGCAGCATAATGGACTTGTCTATTTTCGAGCAGCTGCGTGGCCCTCTTTCGAACAATGCGGCCCAGAGTTCGCAACGTGCAAGCACAGAACCAGTCGCTTTTCGATCGTACTTTCCGTAGAATCGCGTCCCAGGGCCAAACAAACCGGCTGACCATAGCGATCGATACTTCTCGTATACTTCGTGCACGACTTTATTGAAGAATTTGTTACATAAGGCGGGACAAGTTTTCTCGAACTTTTCGGCGGGAATTTTGAACGATTTAAAAATTCGTCAGATATTTAACGTTACGGTTCTGTGAAAAAGAGCCGAAAAAGAGTCGAATTGTCGTCTCATTGCTAAGTTTAGAGAGTTTTGTTGTATAGGTATAGTGTAAAATTTAGGAGAATGTTGAATCATTGGTGAAATTTACAGAGAATTTGCGATTTTAAGATTTTTAATTTTTATATAATTATTGGTTTTTTTTTTTTAACCTGTAGTGGGTGGAAACTTTATTTCATTATGTTAAAAAGAAAGGAGGAAATAATTATAGGGTATAAAGAACTATGCTCCAAGTTAACGGAGCATTACGTCTCAAGTCATTGAATTTTATTGTTATATTAATGAGAATTACGACAGCGTTTTTTTATTACAAACACTACCGCAATATTGCATTAGATATAAACATCAAATGTTAATAGTATTATAATGCATTAGTACGAAATCGTTAAATTTGATGTAGTTTATTAAAATTGTATACATCTATTTTAGTTATTCTAACAGTCAGTATTCGACATTTCATTATTCAACTTTTCACGTTCAATTAATAATAAATATCAGAATAAATACTAAATATTATTAATTTTCCAAAAATATAGTAGGAAAATATAGAAAATGTTTTACACAGAAATATTCTTGTTGAAATAATTTTTCATTGTTCAACTGTCCACGTTGAATTAATTTTAAAAATAAATCCTAAAAATTAAATAAACTTTCAAAAAATGTGGCAATACATTTAAAATATTCTTTTTGAAGTAATTTCTCACACTGCACCAATTACCAGACAATCTACAATTGCCGATAAACTTAAAAAATGACAAAACAAACAAAAGGTTTCTCTAACCAAACCTAACCAGACAAAGCGAACGTAATCCTATCTGTTAAACCTAAAACCGATCTTCAAACGAAACGATCTCAAATCAAAGCTAATTTCTCGCATGACGTCTACAGTAGAACTAATTCCCCTTCGACATACACGTTACGATATCTAATCGACGACTAATCTTCACAAGGACACTACGCACGGACGATCTTTACCATCGGTCGATAATACCAGCGATTTTCATCCTCTGTCTATTTACAATTACATTCGAAGAGACGAGAAGTCTCGCAGATTTAATTCGTCGCAAAGAGAGCGCGTTTCGTACGTCCGTTCGACGAGCGTGAGCTGCTAAAAACGAGCCACCCAGCAATTTAACGTCATTTATTTCTATTGCCTTGATGCGGGCCTGTTACGTCACGCGATTTCTCTCTCCGCCCTTTTGTCGCGTTTACAAGTCGGGTATATACTGGCCGCGTGCACCATGTGATCGTCCCGCGATTCTTTTTACGAGAGCCAATCGCGAGAGGCAATTTTCGAAATTACCAAACATTGAGATCGATGGACAATACTTTACAGATCGAGATTGTTTCGATGTTCGTCACAACGATGCGTCATTGTTTTATGCGATTCGATACGAGATCGATGCTTGGTTATGATACGGTGGTGATTAAGCAACGCCATTGATAAAATATTTCTCCTTTGAAGCTTAACGAGTACGATAAGGGACGAACTAATGAAACAATATTCATAGATTTTATAATATTATAATTCCTTTTGTTTTAGTCCTTTGGTAGATTTTTTTGTTACCCTGTGTAATTGTAAACGTCGAAAATTTGTCTGTTTTGAAATAAATAAATTATTTTGTAGTTTAATACTGAATTAACATGAAAATCTGAGAAAACACGTGGTGGTGAAATATTTCAAATTGTACAATTAGAAGACAAAGAGAATAAATATCGGAAATTTGTCTGGATTCAGAATAAATAAATTATTGTATAGTTTAATGCCGAATTAAGATGAAAATCTGAGGAAACACGTGGTGAAATATTTCAAATTGCACAGTAAAAAAGACAAACAAAGTATAATCCAAAATTTGTCAAAAGACGTGATGAAATATTTCAAATTGCACAGTTACAAAACAAATAAAATAATTATCAAAAATCAGTCTACTGTGGAATAAATAAATTACTGCACAGTTCAACTCTAAATTAACACGAAAATTTAAGCACGTGTACTGTTACGCACATTGGAAATTAGATTTGATCGAACACGTGGTAAAATATTTTAAATTGCACAGTTAAAAGACAAACGTCAGTGGGATTTAAATTGTTCCTACGTTACCATTATGCAATATACATTACTACACAAAATTACAGCTCGCATACATTCTTGACGTAATATAGCTGAATATATTGCGCAATACAATTTTTATTGCCATTTTGGTCATATATATATATATAGGGA